TATATTGGAGGTTATCCTTGAAATGCTGCTGCATCTGTTGTTGGGGTTTACCATTGCTTGCCTTGGAGGCTGAGCACATAGGCTACTAGGAGTTCTTTTAGCTGCATTTTCTTGGTCTGACTTCATACCACTGGAGTTGCCTCAGTCATCTAGTTTCTTTATTGGATGTATGTGTTCTCCAAATGTTTATAGCCCCAAATCCTCTAATTGTTACTAATTTAATTGATTGATATCTCAAGACAGTATACAGTGACTATAACCAAGAGCAGGACAGGTCAAGGAAACAACAAAGTTGGTAGAAAAGCCATTTTGCTTCCCAGCTGTATCCTTTTTTAATCTACACATAGTAAATGAAGCAGTGTCCTTGATTTTTTTTTTCCTTTCAGTAATATCTGTTTATCATTCCTAGGCCATTGATTCAGGAGAAGATCAAAGTGCTGGGTGAAGCTGGTCTTTCAGAAGCCAATTTCTCTGAAACAGCTGAGTCAACTAATTACTGTCCTAAGGTAATTGACCTGAAAGAATATTGGTGGTCCCTGGGAGAGGCTGAATGGGCTTTGGCTTGTGTACATCTAGATTGGCACAGGTGGCCTTACACCTGTTCTGCCTTTAATGTCACAGACCAGATTGTTCAGCTCCTCCCAGGATCCACACCTCGGCTTGGACTCTCCACAGGAATTCCAAGCCTGCTATTTGCAAGACCTGTTAGCATCCATGACATATATGTATGTCTTTGAGTATATAATGTATGAGATACATATGGGTATGTGTCATGGATGAGATACGTATGGGTATGCAGCATGTAAGTTATGATCTATACACACATGTGCACTGTATAAAGGGAGTGTCCTCTGATTTTGCTCACTATGTTTTGCATAACAGTGTGGATGCAGATCATGTTCTCTTCTGTTTCTTCAGACAGACCCAAAGCAGAAGACAATCTACGACCTTTTCCAAAAGACCTTCTCTGAGAGCAGAGATGATGCTGATGATGTTTTGTTTTTGGAGGCAGCTGATGCTGGCTGTGAGTTTGACTCTGGCAGTGCCTTGCAAGACAGAGAAGCGGAGACATGTTCAGTGAGTCCAAAAAAAAAGCGGCGTATTGAGGAAGTGTAAATTGTGACAGCTAAAGATGGCAGCTAAGAGAGATTTTTTTTTTAATTAAAAAAAAAAAAAAACAAAAGCAATCACATATTATTTTTTGATTTTTTGAAAATAAAATATTTGAAGTTTTCTGTATGTCTGGCATGTTTCATCTCAAAGGATGAGAAGGCAGTCTGACAGTGTGACAGATGTGCAGCATACACCTGGCAGCTGCAGGGTTTGCAGTCCTGGTTTTGTTGATGACTGAATGGACACAGGCAAGTATCATCCTGCTGTATTTCAGCATGTCAGCTTCCACAGTTGTTTTGTTTAAAAAGCAGATAATGGCTGTCTGTCCCCAGGGTAGAACTCTTGAGAAAACCAACTCATCAGCAGCTGCAGAGTTTTCCATTTCCAAAAGTCTGTATTTCTAGGAGTTTGTTCATTGGCAAATTGGGCTATTACTTGGATCACTCACAGACTGGCTCTTGGGTATTCTGTTTGGCCATGAAGAAAAAAGATCCAAACAGATATTGATGTTTCGTGGGGGTGGGGAAGAAGAGGGCAAAGAGGAAGTTACCACCTTGGAGCTAAGTAATGTAGCTGTGTGCCAATAAGTGTGCATTGCCTGTTTTAGGCACGTATTCCTCTGCACACTCCTCTCTGGCCTTGTGCTGAATATTAGGACCTGTTCCATGGTATGTGCTTCTGTCAGTGGGGGGGTGAAGCTTGTGCTGACTGCCAGAGATTAACCTGACTTCTCAGGGAGATGGCGTGGGTGGGTGTGTGTTTTCTTCAAGATTTGACTGATTTCTACAGGTGAATGAGGAAAAGAGGACACAGGCATACTATTGCTCTTGTTTTGAAAGAAACCGATTCTGGACTGAACTGTTTAAATAGCAAGTTGTTCTAAGTTGTGATTCACAAGCTTTTGCTACTTTCTCTATTTTAGCATTCCATCTCCCACTTAACTGTGTTTTACAGCTGTAATCTGTAGAAAAGGTGGCAAACTGAAGGCTTCCATTTAGCTCCTGGAGGCCAGTAGCTAATGTGCTGTGGAGCTGAGGTGCTCGGTTCTGTGCAGATACCACAGTGACAAAAATACCTCTCTTGCAAGGCAGATGAGAAAAATGTTTGTGCTGTAAGATCAACCTAGTAACATTAGGTATTTTTTCCTGCATTGAAGGGTTTGATTGTTCCATTTTCAGCTGGTGTCGTCATGGAAATGCCCCACAGGCTCCGTGTACAATTGTGCTGGGTGGAGAGCTGCTTTTCATTAGAGACTGCAGATGGTGCTTTGGGGTGTGAGCAGTAGCAAGGGCTGTTGTGACTGGGCAGCTGGAGGAAATGCTTTATCTCTGGGTTTGAGGCTGAGAGATAACCATCACTCTCTTACTTCAACAGCTGCCCAGGTGATGAAGACACACTTTTTGACATTTTTAAATATCTGTCATCTTGGACACAGGGTATTTAATCTGTCTGTAGGATGAGTGATCTTTCTACTTGCAAAGTGGGTTGTTCTGAGTAAGGGGTGAGAAATGTTGCTGTCTGCTGACTGAAAAAAAAAAGAAGCAAAAGGCATTATTTGTGTACCTATATTGTTGTTTCCTATAGGAGTAATTCTCTTCTTTGTAAAGCTGCAACTATTTCAAAACAGTACTTTTCTAAGATATACTGAAAGTACCCTTGAAGAATTCTGCTTCTTATTATCTTGATTCATCTTGTTGTTATGTTGATAAATCCCAGCCCTGCTAGAGGAATGCTAGGTGAAACTTCCCTTTCTTATGACCCATAAAATCTCAGCTGGTTTTCTGCCCAGATACAGAGGTTTTTCAAGAGATCCTGAGATCCACTTTATCCTTTAGTACATGAAAAAGGGGAGAAGGACCTTGCAGCAAAGTGCTGTTAGTGATTACTTCAAGGGACTGGAGGCACTGCAGGCCTTACCCAATGGCACCATTAGTCAGTCCATCATTAATATGGTGAGGAGGTGGCAGGGCAGCTGGCAGCAGGCTCAGACAGGATCTCCAAGGCTTGCTGACATCATCTCCGAGGCAGTGTGTAGGATGCCAGTGAGACCCACAGCAGGCACAGGAACACAGAGCACTCCTGGGGCCTCTTGAACCTGACAGCTGAAGATAATAGAGCTGTATCCTTTTGGCATTATCTAAAACCAGTACAGGAAAGAGAAGGACCCATCTTATAGAATCTTAGAGCACCTTACTGTGGCTGGTTGCCTGCTTGTACACCTGCATCGGAGAAAGGTGTGTTTTCAAGAAGGATGCTAAAACAGCAACAACAGATTAAAATACATCAACAATAAGCTGGAGCAGTTCCAACTAAGTATTCTGTGTGCCCCAGGCTGGCTAGCTTTATGAGCTGAAAAGGGGATGGACTATGAAGGAAGACATGGCTGTGCTGGCCTGTGTCCTTCATCTTCTCAGTCCCTTGGAAATGTGTGTGTACTCTGGCAGCACTGGGAATGGCTGTCAGCCAGGGCAGCTGGGTTTGGTTGTTGCCAGAGCTGCCTGTGACACTGGTAGGTGATGGATATGACCATGTGCTGTACTGTCACAGCAAACCTGAACTCAGTAGATACAGACCAGAGAATAAGAGTAAATTCTCTAGATATGTTAGCTGACAATTTATATATTTTTTTAACCATATCATCACTAGGTAGCCAAAGGAAATAACTTTTCTGTTTTCTAATACATTGGTATCAAAGCTGTATCCTGTGAGTCATCATGGTGACGAGGATCTGAAAAGGGCAGATATATTCGTAGGATATATCAAATGAAATTTTGATTCAGCTAAGGGAGATAAAAATACCATTGCCTAAAAGTCTTGCTGAGCCCTCATCTGAGACATTGCTCTGGCCCACCAGCTCCCAGAAGAGCTTGCAGGGATGATCAGGGAATGGGGAGCCTGGCATAACAGAGAGAATTAAAAATGTCGGTGTTTAAACCCTGAGAGCAAAAGCCAAGAAGGAATGTGACATCTGGTCATGAGCATCTCTTAAAGTACAGATCCCAGCCAGGGACAGTAACAATGGCTGGATACACTCGATTCCTTGATTCGCTCTTAACTAAACAGACTGCAAGTGAAGGGTGCTGTCATTGCTTGAGGCAGCCAGGGTGGGTTCGGAGGAAAACTACCTGCAACAATGACGTGGGGACGGTTTTAGTCCGGCCCTCTCCTGGCAGGAGGGGATGAACCGTAGCTGGCTCTGCACGTGGAAAACTCTCATGGTACTGGATTACATTTCCTAATGGAGGTTAATGGGTTGCTAATCCCTTTACAAGCATTGCAGCTCGGTGGCACTGGTGTATTTTCCCCTCTGTGTTTTGGTGCTGGGAGTCACCTCTGAAGCAGAACATGCGGGCTTTCAGGGCTGATGATTTCAGCACTGGGTAACCCCAAGGAAAATAGGAAGTTGCCTTAACCTGACCTGATGCCAAAACTGTTGAAACCTCATAGTTTAAGGCTGGTATGTTTTATGATAGGAATTCATCCTCGCTGATTTTTATATATATTATTATTTACTTTTTCTGCAGTTGTGGACGTTTCCTGTCCCTGTTTTGATATCCACCTGCAGCTTATTCTCTTTAAAAACCAGGTGAGTGAATGAAACGCCCTTCTCTGCTGTGACTTCCTTCGGTGGAAACCCAGGAATCTGAGCTCGGAAGTGTCTCCAGGGAGGGAGCCTGCAGACGCTCCCTGAGCAGCAGCGCAGCGCCCGTGCCGGGCGGCTGTGAGCCCGTGCCGGGCGGCTGTGAGCCCGTGCCGGGCGGCCGTCAGCGCCTGCCCGGCGGCTGTCGGTGCTTCCAGCGGGCTGCCGGCCCCTGCCCGCGGCAGTGCCGGCTCCGCAGCGCAGCCCGCCCTCGGCCCGCCCGGGCCGCGCCCCGTCCCCGCGTCACGTCCGCCCGCGCCGGCCCGCCCGCGCCTGCGCACTGCGGCTCCCTCTCCGCGTCGGCGCCGACGGAAGATGGTGAGTGAGGCCGGGCCCGTCCGCCGCCATCCGCAGCCATCCGCACCGGGACCGCCGCGCTGAGCCCGGGGGGCAGCGCGGAGCCGGGGCCGGGGGTGCGCCGCGTTCCCGAGCCGGCTCCGGCCCCGCGCTGCGCTGTGACAGCGGCGCGCTGGGTGCGGGCGGCCGCGGGGAGGCGGCCTGGGTTCGGGGAATGGCAGCCGGGACAGGGGCGGCAGCGCTCCGTGCCGCCGCCGGCCGGCCCCGGCACGGACGGGGCTCTGCCCGGCCTCGGCGCCCCGGCAGGAGCTGCGGGGCTGCAGCAGCGCCAGCACGGTGGCGTTTGATCGGGAATGCTGATGGGGAGCGCAGCGACTGGAGGGCTGGAACAGCTCTCATCAGCACGGGCTGAGGGAGTTGGGCCTGGTCAGCCTCAGAAGAGGCGATTGAGAGGGGATCTCATTATATAAATATATAAATATAAAATAGCAAAAATAGCGTACGAGTATCTAAAGGTCTGTCAGGAGGCAGGAGCCAGGCTCTTCTCGGCTGTGCCAAGCAGAAGCACGTCGGTGCACCTGAGCACGGGGAAGAACTTTGTGTGCAGTGAGCGAGCCCTGGGTGGGCTGCGCAGACAGGCTGCGGCGTCTCCCTCAGTGCAGATGCTCAGGAGCCGCCTGGGTGCAGTCCTGTGCCGTGTGCTCCAGGCCGATCCTGCTTGAGCAGGGAGGTTGCACCAGGTGGCCACTGCGGTTCCTTCCAGCCCGACCCATTCCCTGACGCTGTGAATACTCAGTTTTCCCAGCAGCAGGGGAGGCTGCAGCCCGGCTGTAAGGGTGCTCAGCACCAGCTGCCGTGGTGGGAGAGGGGAGCGGTGAGGGGAAAGCGTCTCTGTAGAGCTGCAGCTCATTCTGGGTTGCCTCCCAACAGGCCAAGCGCACCAAGAAGGTCGGGATCGTGGGTAAATATGGGACCCGTTACGGTGCGTCCCTTAGGAAAATGGTGAAGAAGATTGAAATCAGCCAGCATGCCAAGTACACCTGCTCCTTCTGTGGCAAGGTGAGAGATCTCCTTCCCCTTCCAAAACTCTATAAAAATTACATTGTTATTGATGCTAGAAAGGTGATACGATGCTTCATTAATTTTTGTACTGAAGCGAAACATGCCTAATTCCAAGACAGGGACTAGTGTATAGTGAGCTTTGGGTTACTGTTGGGAGTTCTTGAAAAAGAGAGTAGACATTTCAAATATATGTTTAGTAGTAGCTAAATGAAAACAAACATTATTACATTTCATTATGCAAAAGAGTGAGTGATGTTGCCATATGATATGTTCTACATAATTAATAAAATACACCAGACAGAATTAAAGCAATTATTATCTTATGTTTTTATTGTTATCTGTAGAGTAGTAATCTTTAAACTGTCTGGAAATTTAAAAATATTTTCATCATGGGGTTTTTTTTTTTGCTTTGATTTGTTGTTGGGTTTTTGTTTGTTTTTAACTTACTGCTTTTCTCATATGAAGTGAGAATGTTCTTAGTCTTGTCTGCAGAGCTGCCTAAATCAGGCAGGGGTGTAGGCAAACTTACTGTCACCTCTGCAAGGTGATGGATACCAGCATGGGGGAGGGAATTCCATACCCACCACTCACTCTTTAGATGCTGCTGGAAGTGGGTCTGGGTTGGCAAGCTGGGCTTGCCCAGGTAGTCCTGGGAACAGGGGTGTTACATGAGCACCAAACCAGGTGAGAATATCAGTTGTTAGAACCAAGGTAGCTCCTTACTATTTTTCTCCTTCAAAATAAGCTGAAGTTTTGATGGTGCCTTCAGAAGTGACCCAGTTCATACCTGAATGGAAAAGTGTTTCAGAAGAGTCTGCAGAATTTGAGTAAAAGGATTTTCTGTTCCTTTCTTGTCTAAACATGGCTTATAGGAGTCATGTGAAGGCCTTGCCTGAAGTTTCTTGTTTGACTTTTTGAGCTGATAGTGACTTTTATTTTTTCTTTTTTTTCTTCTGTTCCAGACCAAAATGAAGAGGAAGGCTGTGGGTATCTGGCACTGTGGATCCTGCATGAAGACAGTTGCTGGTGGTGCCTGGACTTACAAGTAAGGAAATGAAGAAACTCCAGTCAACATTTATTCTCACATAGCTGTGTTATTACACAGCTTTTGACTTTTTATCTTCTTTTTCTTTCTTCAAATTTTGATCTACTAATCATTAAGTACATCTGTCTTGAGATAGTAATGGGGGAAGTCTCCTGTTCTCTTAAAATTTGATTGCTGTGTATCAAAGTCAATTTGATTGCTGTTCTTTGCAATAGGCAAAGCCAGATTTATTCCAAGAAAATTTATTTTCATGTTTTCCTTTCATTGTAAAAGCAAATAATTCAATCATAATAGCCTTTATTGTGAGGATGCTGTTGCTTACTCTCCTTCTGAGCTCCTTCCCCCCCAGTTCTGTAGAAGACACTCATACCCCACGCGTAGCAATCGTGAGGGATCTGAGCCCACACGTTGGTGCACGTGGTCAGTGCATGACTGGGAGATTTGGGTTGGGATGTAGCCTGTGAAGTTCCATGTGCTTTGTGGATCCAGGCCTACGCTTTGTTAGGAAAATAAAAGTGGAGTTAGGCCCTGTTGGACAGCACAGTCAGATGATAACAATTTGAAATGATAAGTGCTTTCTCAAAAATAAACAACACCAGCACAGTTGTTCTGCCACATGTAAATGACTCTGCTTCTTCCTCCAGTACCACCTCTGCAGTGACAGTCAAATCTGCCATCAGAAGACTGAAGGAACTGAAAGACCAGTAGAAGCTACTTCCTGTTCTCCTTGTGAAACATCCTTTTTTCTCCACTGTCAAGATCTGTCCTTTTATTAATAAAAGGGCGATGATGGTGTGGAATAATTTTTGTCTTTTCTGCTTGAAGTCCAGTCTGTTATGTATGGTGAGTGCCAGGTGCCCACCCAAACTGCCCCATCACTGCCTTCCTCTACTGGACAAGGGAGAGAAATTATAATAAAGGTCTGTGGGTGGGATAAGGGCAGGGAGAGATCCCTCACCAGCTACTGTCATGGGAAAAACAGACCTGACTTGAGGAAACCAGTGTAATTTATTAACAATTGTTTCAGAGTAGGACAATGAGAAATAAAACCAAATATTAATTCCAATCACCCCTCCCTTCTTTCCAGGCTCAGCTTTACTCTTGATTTAGTTGCCCTCTGCAGCAGCTGCACGGGGGGATGAGGAATGGGGGCTGAGTCCATCACATGCTGACTCTGCTGCTCCATCTTCCTCAGGGGGAGGGCTCCTCTCAATTCCTCTGCTCCAGCGTGGGTCCCTCATGGTGTCACAAGTTGTGCCAGCCAACCTGCTCTAGCATGGGCTCCTGGGCTCCTCTGCAGGGCACAGGTCCTGCCATGGGCCTGCTCCACTGTAGGCTTCCTATGGTGTCACAGCCCTGCTTCAGCACGGAGCCCTCCATGGGCTGTAGGACTGGGATGGCAAATTTGTTTAAGAATAATTTGGTTGCAGTGGAATGGAGGTATGTAGCTGTTTTGGTTAGTTACAGAAATAACAACATAGAAGTATAAAAAATACATACATAAGCAAGTAATGAGAAAGGGATTAAAAAAAAAGGGAAAGGGATAAAAAAAGGGAGACAAAAAACACTACCACCCTTGGGTCCAATGACAAGACTTGATTGTGGGTGACTGCAATGCCCCTTGGTCAAGGTGATGGTCACAGTCTTGATCTGTGGGAGGTGGGGGAGCCCCTGAAACACAAAAGTTCACTGGGTTAGTATTTTCAGGTGTGCTGGGAATACCCAGGTTCCTCCCCTGAAGGGGGTGGGGTTTCCAGTTTGATGGTAACATTGTGGATCATGTGCAATCCAGGCCCAAAATGACTCTGGGGACATTTTGGGGGTCTTTGATGGTTTATGACCAAGCCATGACAGCTGCCTCACCTAGTAGCTGAGCCTGGGATGAATGTTGGTTGTCATGCCTACGAATGTCCCAATACCTTCCAGGGGAGGGGGGAAAGGGAGGAGGAGTTTTACATCTCATCCAGTTGTGTAGGGGAGGACATTTGCATGATAAAAAACATGGTCCCACTTCGAAGGATCTGCTCAAGAACAGTTTGTTGCTAAACAAAAGTTGGTTTAAAGTCGTGCACCTCACCAGCTGCTTTTGAAAAGGCTGATTGTTTGCATCATTAACCCTTAAAATTCCAGTCTCTCAAAAGCAGGCACCTGGCACATCTCCTGTTCCTGCTGCCCTGGCCTGGACACCTGCAGACCTGTCCCTTTCACATACTCCCCTCTGTGGCTGCAATTGCTTTTGTGTGGGGTTTTTTTTCGCTGATCTCTTCCCCCAGATCTGCCATCACTGCCAATGGGCTCCTCCTTGGCAAGTGGTGGGTCTGTGCTGGAGCGGGCTGACATTGGTTCTGTCAGACACAGGGGAAGCTTCTGGCAGCTTCTCCCAGGGGCTGCCCCTGCAGCACTCCCCCTGCCAAAACCTTGCCATGCAAACCCAGTGCACGGTTCTGTATTTATATGTGTAACTATGGAGACACTACTAGTGCTAGCCGGTAGTTTGAGTGGCCCTGGTTACTGGTGAAGCCATTAAAAACCACTTTTCTTTCTAGTTAATTGCACATTTTGTTGCTTGAATGCACTGAGGTAAATCTGAGGAAAGCTTAAATAACTTGAAGAAGCTTGGCTCAACTTGGTATGTCCTTGACATCTGTGCCTTGAGGAATAGCATAGAGCTCCATGAGTGAGGAATGGGCAGATGTGATGGGAAGAGAGAGCACCTCTCTCTGCCTTTTTCCATTTCCTCCAGGGACTGGGCCATGTGCTGCAAGATGGAGAGAAAAAGATCATCTTGGCTGGAATGGTGAAAGCAGCTCATGCTCTGCTGCTGGCTGGTGCTGCTAATTCTTCAGCAGCACCCACAGGTAACTGCACTACAGCCTGTGGTGTGTTCTGTTGTGTGCAGGTCTCGGGCTTGGTCCACCTGAACGCTTTGCTCCCTGTGGCTCACTCCCTTTTGGTCTGGTAGCAGGCTCTCATCGCCTAATCCACACTGAGTTGCAACAATAAATTTTCATGTTGAGCCAATCCTTTGGACATTTAATCTTGGTGAAAAAGCTGCTGTTTTAGTTAATAATTGCCTCCAAATCCATTTCAATTGTCAAGATGCTGGAACATCTATGATCTGACTTGTGAGTTTCAGTTTGGTTTTATCTGGGGTTTTTTTGGTGATGAGTCTCCCATCCCTAAACAATACAGGTCAGAAAACAAAAATCTTGTTAGTAACTTTTGTTATTAACAAAATTTATAAACAATATTTTCTGCTGGAGGAAAAATAGGAAGGAAGTAACAGAGGGTTTTCTTATCTTTACTTCAAATTAAGCTTTACATGGATTTGGGTAGTGATAAGCCACAGCAATAATGATTCATTAATGTGCCTGCCATCTTCAAAAAATTAATTCAAAGCTGGACCTAACTAGGAACTTTTTCCCAAGTTGCAAAAAATCTGGGGCTCACAAGTTTGACTTCAGTGACCCTGAAATTTTTTTCCAAGCTTTTTTTTTTTCTTTTAATTCGGTGCTTCAAATTTCCCTTACTGAAGTCAGTTAATGTATTCAGGTATATGATGTTATTCATATCAATCTCCATATCCTCATATCCCAGCTGGCTTGGTGGTGTAACCACTTCCCTGGGAAGCCAGTTGCAGTGCCCAACCACTCTCTGGGTGAAGAACATTTTCCTAATATCCAGATTAAACCTCCCCTGACACAACTTGATTACATTCCTTTGGGTCCTATTACTGATCACCAGAGAGATCAGCTCCTGCCCTGTGGGAATATTGCTTCCTCTCACAGGCAGGACAGTGTGGTTCTGCCTATTGCTTTTTATTCTTGATTCAGTGTGCTTGGGTCACATTTCCATGTGGTGAGGCATGACTCTGTACACCTCTGCTTTCTTCATTAATGCAGAGGTCATAATTGAAGTGCAGGTTTCTGATGGAGCTTTCTTATGAATGGTTGTTCATTAACAGGTGCAGAGGATATGTTCCACTGTGTTGATATCCCAGGATAGTTGCACAGGTATTTTATCTCAGATGGCTTCTATTCCTGCTGAGGAGCTTATTAATTACCTTTTGGATTTATATTTGCAGAGGGTGGAAGCTGAGCAGGGTAGAAATACAAAGAGAAGATAAGGATGTGAGACGATCTTTTTGACCTGGATTGTGTGGTCCTACCTGCAGCCCTGTGGGATGGGCTGTGCCCGCAGATCCCCTGAGCTTCTTGTCCCGGACGCTCCTCGGCAGGGGCATTTTGTGTGGGTGACTCTTGGAGGCTGCCAGCCCCGCTCTGGGCGGGGAGGAGGAAGGATGCGCTGGCAATGCTGCGAGCGGCCAGCGGGCGCCACTGCCGCTCTGCCGCGCATCCCTCGGCTCCGCTCCCGGCCCGCGGCGCCTCTGCGCGCCTGGGCTCCGGCACCGCTGCTCGGCTCCGCGCTTCCTGCTCCCCCCTAAAACAGACCTGGGCACTCTTTTCGATTGTCCGGGACAAAAGGCATCAGGAGGTTAAAATAGGAATGGGCAGGTTGGACATGAGGATTTTGCAGTCATTTGTCACCTCTAGCAAAGCTGAATTTGTGTCAGTGCTCAGTCCAAATGCCGTGTATATACTATGTATATATATAGTTGTACTGACAACTGATTGTGATTTGGCCAGGTGATCCTCCTAATCTGTTGTTTCCTCTGGGAATCTAGGATGAAAACAGGAATTCTAAACAATATTACTTACTGCTTTCAGTATACTTGCTGTTAAGCCATAGTTCAGAACTTTGATAGAGTTGTTTTAGACACTGTGGAAGCAGAGAGCTGATACCTGTCCTGGAGGGTGTGAGTTTATGGCAATACCAGACCCATCTGGATTTCAATGGCTCTGGGAATTGGAGAGTTTGATGGAAAGTGAGACTTAAAATCTGGCTGAATGCTCTGTAGATGTGGCTGTGCAGGTTAGTTTATCTTGGTTGCTTTTGAAGAGCAGGTGAGAAGGGGACCTCCTTCTCAGAGCACTCTGTCAATCCCATGGGATTTTTCTTTCAGGATATAACCTATGGGGATGGTAGCTGTAATCAGTGTGGCATTTCAGGTACCAAAAGGTAATTCAGGAGCCCAGAAGAACTTGGAAATAAAAAGCTGAACAAACTCGGGGCAGCTTTCCTCGTTCTGATTTCTGTTAAGTATTTCTTTGTTTACAAAACAAAATAATTGCTTTGGCTTTACCCTCTTTGTGCTTCCTGCCCCTTCCTGGTCACCAACACCCTGTTTGGTCTGTAGGGGATCATGATGCTAAGCCTTGGGGGCACCACTGGTATAATGCCACATATTAAAGACTGGAGGTTTAGGGCTTACAGAAATGAGAAACCTCAGTCACAGGTGTTGGTTGCCCTTTCTTCATGTCCTGACTTAAAGGTGGTGTGAACTCAGCCTGTGTGCATGTGCTCCCTTTTGGCTTGGTGTCTTAGGAATTTGACTGTAACACAGCCTGGCAGTTATAAGCAGTGGGCACCATGTTTTAAGGAGCATATTCCAGTGTGATTTCTAACTTTCATGGCCATCAAATGTTTTGCTCTTGTATGGTTAGCTGCTTTCCTCCTTGAGCACAACCAAGGATTGCTCATGGCCTTCCTAAGCTCCTTCCTCCATGCTGCATCCCAAGGAGATTTCAATGGCACTTCAGAAGCAGGAGTGACTGGTGCAGGTGAGTCACCTTCCTCATGCAGACTAACTCTGTCTTGGGACCATCTGCGAGGTCTCTCCCTATAAAGAAAGAAGATTTAGTGATGAAATTTATTGCTGGCTTTGCATGCAACTCTGAACACTGGACAGCAAGAGAAGCAGCCAGATTTAGAGAATGATGTGAGCACCACTTTAATGGGCTGCAAGTCACCATCTGATTTTATGTATTATCCTAGTTTCCACCTGCTGCTCATCCTACCTGGATTTTCAGCAGCTCCACTTGGGGGAAGATTGCATCACAGAGCTGGCCCAGCTCCTGTGGATGAAGTGGGCAGTAACATCTCTCTGCTACCCAGCTACGCAGCAGGGCTCCCAGCTTTCCTTGGAGAAATGGTTCCTTAAAGGAT